TTTAATTTTTGAAGATCTGAGGGAGTTAAAGGAGTTTTTCTACATTCTATATACTACTACTACTACAACAACAACAACCTAGTAAAATCCCACAATTGGGGTCTGGGGAGGGTAGTATGTACGCAGATCTTACCCCTACCCCGAAGGAGTAGAGAGGCTGTTTCCGAAAGACCCTCGGCTCAAGATAATAAGAAAAAAAACAAAAGGAGAGAATATTAGTTTCACCATAGGGGTCATAGGAAAAGTAGGCACATAAAATGCAGAAGAAAAATACAAGGCAGAAATGATGGCTAGTAAATAGGTCTTGCACCGAAAAGATAAAATATTAAGACACAACAATGCCCCTAGCTATTTTAGACAAAAACCTTACTAGACTAGGCTCACAACGGTACAAAGTAACGCAAGACTCAACTATCTCCTAGCCTACAACCGTAATACTGGACCTCCACAACTTCCCATCAAGTGTCATGTCCTCGGAAATTTGAAGTCTCGCCATATCCTGCCTGATCACTTCTCCCCAATACTTTTTAAGTCGTCCTCTACCTCTTCTCGTGCCCTCCACAACCAGCCTCTCACACCTCTTTACTGGAGCATCTGGGCTTCTCCTCTGTACATGCTTGAACCATCTAAGTCTCGTTTCCCGCATCTTGTCATCAATGGGAGCCACGTGCACCTTTTTCCGAATATCATCATTTCTAATCTTGTCCATCCTAGTGTGCTCGCACATCCACCTCAACATTCTCATTTCTACTACTTTCATCTTTTGGATATGTGAGTTCTTAACAGGCAAACATCCAGCCACATACATCATAGCCGGTCTAACCACCGCTTTATAGAACTTACCTTTGAGTATCGTTGGCACTCTCTTGTCACACAAAACTCCGGATGCTAACCTCCACTTCATTCATCCTACCCCAATACGATGTGCGACATCGATATACCTGGAACCAAAATCCGCATAACTTCCTACACCTTGTTTCTTTGTCTTTAACATGCTCTTCATTTCCTTTTTTTGGTGGGAGTTCAAGTATCCTTTGTCAGTCCAATTATTGAGATTATACTCATCATAAATAAATAACAAAAGTTATTTTGAAAATGAGATAGATGCAATGCTATCTAAGATCAGTATTCTTGGAAGAGCCACATATGGCAAACTACCAACTTAAATGCACTATCTGGTTGTTATGCTCATTTGCTCCGCAACGACCTCAGCTGTGTTTATCCTGTTAGAACAAAAAATACTTTAGAGATGAACACCATCATCTCTTACCCAAGAACTACCATGTCAAATCATCAAGAATAAATACTAGATGAGGAAACGTACCTGAATCCATGGGAATGGATGAAACTCGTTGTCTTGAGGTTAGTAGTCTTCCAAATCAAGACGCAAGCCGTAATCGCCTTCCTAACGATTGGATGCTAGAAAGAAATGTTTGGGGATCATAACCCTATTAATAGGTGCACAAGTTTATATAATTCTAATTTAGCCCATCATTAAATTAAAAGTTACATCCGAGTATCTAGACATAAGACCCCGTACTTTAGAAAATGTCTTATACTAGACTCATTTAACTTTAAACCTTAGCAGATCATTTTTAATTTGGGTTAACCTTTTAATGACAGCAACCAGCATACAGTTATTCTTAACACAAAATATATGTGCAAGTCCATAAACTCTTACATTCCTTGATATAACATTTTGCCACCCCTATTTGAAGGCATTGTAAGTTACCTTACTATCAGAATTTATGTAAAGCAAGCAGTTAGTAATCTTACTAGTGATCAGTTTCTCACGAGGCTTGGCTCTTTTCATCAATATGCTGTCAGTGACATGGTTTTAAGGAATTTTTCATATGCTAATGCAAAGAATAAATAGCTCAACTAAGAATTGAATAAGTCTTGTTGCATATGAGAACATCAAACAGCTCAACAAACGAATTTAGAGGACAGCTTTTGGAGATAGTGTTTGCCTTCTTAAAATTAGGGGTAAGGTCTGCCTAAGTACTACTCTTCCCACACCCCACTTGTAAGACTACACTGGGTATGTTGTTGTTGCTTCTGGAGATAGTTTTTGGCATAATGTAGAAAATTCTTTATAGTTAATCTTCTATCTACCTAAGCCTAGGCCAATAGAACAAACTCTACATTTGTACTGGTGGGAATAAGGTCTGCCTAAGTACTACTCTTCCCATACCCCACTTGTAAACCTACACTGGGTATGTTGTTGTTGCTTCTGGAGATAGTTTTTGGCATAATGTAGAAAATTCTTTATAGTTAATCTTCTATCTACCTAAGCCTAGGCCAATAGAACAAACTCTACATTTGTACTGGTGGGAAGTAATATCTGGTAAAATATTCGAGATATTCAAACACCGTATAAAAGAAAAGAAATCTATGTTGTTGTGTTTATTATCCGAGAGCTTAACAAATTTAGTTGGCGAGGCTGAATAAAGGCTCGCACCTTCAAGTAATTGGAAAGTGTGTAGGTTAAAATGGATCCAACTCTTTTCCATTTCTATTTTTTAGTGGGTAGGGCTTTATATTATTCAATTAAATCTCATCCATTGATTTTTAACCATGAAAAGTGTTTTCCATCCAAGTCAACAACAACAACAACAACAACGACCTAGTATAATCCCACAAGTGGGGTCTGGGGAGGGTAATATGTACGCAGACCTTACCCCTACTCCGAGGGGCAGAGAGGCTGTTTCCAAGAGACCCTCGGCTCATGAAAGCAACAAGAGACGATATATTAGTACTATCAATAGAATCATAATAAAATAACCTAAAATAATATAACATAACATAAAATAACAAAATAACAACAATACAAGAAATACGAGATGGAAGGTATAATAATATCCAGCAGATAAAGCCCTGCATCAGTAGCTGACCAGTAGCATCCTAAGACTAACTCCTAACTATCTAGTCTCACTCTAGTGCGCTGTAGAAATATTCACAACTTCCCCCTAACCTATAACCTTAATGCTCAACCTCCACAATTCTCTGTCAAGGGCCATGTCATCAGTAATCCTAAGTCGCGCCATGTCCAGCCTGATCACCTCTCCCCAATACTTCTTCGGTCTCCCTCTAACTCTCCTCGTGCCCACCACAGCCAGTCGCTCACACCTCTTCATCGGTGCATCAGTGCTCCTCCTCTGAATGTGCCCGAACTATCTGAGTCTTACTTCCCGCATCTTGTCCTCCATGGGGGCCACGCCCACCTTCTCTCGAATATCTTCATTCCTAATCTTATCCATCCTTGTATGCCCGCACATCCACCTCAACATCCTCATCTCTGCTACTTTCATCTTCTGGGTGTGTGAGTTTTTAACCGGCCAACACTTGGTCCCATACAACATAGCAGACCTAACCACTGCTCTATAAAACTTACCTTTTAGTAGCGGTGGCACTTTCTTGTCACACAGGACTCCCGATGCTAACCTCCACTTCATCTACCCCACCTCTATATGGTGTGTGACATCCTCGTCGATCTCCCCGATCCCCTGAATAACTGACCCAAGGTACTTGAAACTACCCCTCTTAGGAATGACTTGAGAGTCAAGCCTCACTTCCACTCCCGCCTCCGTCAGCTCGGCCCCAAATTTGCACTCGAGGTATTCTGTCTTCGTCCTGCTCAACCTGAAACCTTTAGACTCAAGGGCATGTCTCCAAACCTTTAGCCTCTCATTGACGCCGCCTCGTGTCTCGTCAATTAGAACTATATCATCAGCAAATAGCATGCACCAAGGCACCTCCCCTTGAATATGATGAGTTAGTGCATCCATCACCAGGGCAAATAGGAAAGGGCTGAACGCAGACCCTTGGTGCAATCCCGTAACAACCAAAAAATACTCGGAGTCGCCTCTTACTGTCCTAACCTGAGCCTTAGCTCCATCATACATGTCTTTAACTTTCACCTCTAAGCAGCTCCATAAGACCTCCCTAAGAACCTTGTCGTACGCTTTCTCTAGATCAATAAACACCATATGGAGATCCTTATTCTTATCCCTGTATTGTTCCACCATCCTCCTAATAAGGTGGATAGCTTCTTTGGTAGATCGCTCTGGTATGAACCTGAACTGGTTGTCTAAAATAGACACCGTCCTTCACACTCTCATTTCTACCACACTCTCCCAGACTTTCATGGTATGACTCAGTAATTTGATGCCTCTATAGTTGTTACAGCTCTGGATATCGTCTTTGTTCTTATACAACGGAACCATTGTACTCCACCTCCACTATTCATTCATCCTATTAGTCTTGAATATAACATTAAACAACCCAAAAAGCCATTCCAAGCCTGCTCTACCCACACACCTCTAAAGTTCAACCGAAATTTCGTCTGGCCCGGTAGCTCTGCCCCTTCTCATCTTACGCATTGCCTCCATGACCTCATCAACCTCAATATCCCTACAATAACTTAATTCATGGGGACTATCGGCATTCTTCAATTCACCTAGTACAATATCCTGATCCCCTTCTTCATTTAAAAGTTTATGAAAGTAGGTCTGTCATCTCCTCTCAATCTGGTCATCCCCCATCTAAACTTTGTCGTCTTCATCTTTTATGCACCTCACTTGGTCCAGATCCCGAGCCGTCCTCTCTCTCACCTTAGCTAGTCGGAATAACTTCTTCTCCCCGCCTTTGTTCCCTAGTTCCTCATATAGATGGGAAAAAGCTGCCATCTTAGCCTCCTTCCTAGCTACCTTATACCTCTCACTGTTTGCTCTCTTCTCCTCCTCGCCAGTGCTCCCTACTAACAACAAGTAAGTCGCCTTCTTTGCTTCCATTTTACCTTGGACAACTGCATTCTAACACCAGTCTCCTTTGTGGCCACCGGTGCAGCCCGAAGATATCCCTAACACCTATCTCGCCACCTTCTTTATACAGTCAGCCGTCGTCAACCACATAGTGTTTGCGTCCCCACTACTTCTTCAAGCTCTCATTGCCGATAACCTTCCTTCTAACTCCTGAGCTTTATCCTTAGTCAAGGTGCCTCACTTAATCCTCGGGTGGCCTCGTACTGACCTCTTCTCCTCCTTTTCATAATACCAATGTCCATCACCAACAGCCTATGTTGCATTGCAAGGGTCTCACCTGGGATGACCTTGCAATCCTTGCACCACCTTCTGTCGCATCTCCTGAGAAAGAGATAGTCAATCTGAGTCTTCGCCACCGAACTGTGGTAAGTAACCAAATGCTCCTCCCGCTTCGGAAAACTTGAGTTTGCAATCACTAGATCGAATGCCTTGGCAAAGTCCAACAGCGTAGTGCCCCCTCCGTTCCGCTCCCTGAAACCAATGCCTCCATGCACCTCAGTATAACCACCTACAGACGACCCAATATAACCATTGAAATCTCCTCCTATGATTAACCTCTCGGAAGGCGGAATACTACAAACGATGTCATCCAACCCCTCCCAAAAGCTTCTTTTAATCTCCTCATCTAAGGCTGCTTGTGGCGTGTAAGCGCTAACGAGATTTAAAGTACACTCACCCACCACCAATTTAATAGTCATTAGTCTATCATTCACCCGCCTGACCTCTACCACCGACTCTCTAAGATGACTATCTACCATGATACCTACTCCATTCTTACCCATCAGGACTCCAGAGTACCACAACTTATACCCATTCGTATTTCTCGCCCTCGATCCGACCCACCTAGTCTCCTGGACACATGCTATATTAATCTTCCTCTTGTGAAGGATCTTCGCCAACTCTATAGACTTACTCGTTTGAACCTATGTTCCATGACCCGATTCTCAACCTATAGGCTCCCTTGCCCCTCTACCTCCCCTGCCTCCCGTCCTACCCCCTGACCCTGGCCCCACACTCTGCCCCACCCGAGGACATGCCCTTAATCTATCATCCCAGACTGCAGCCACTACACCTACGACAATCTAAAGAAGACTCGCTAGTGCACAATGGACAACAAATCAAACTAGAAGGAAACAAGTGACTACTAGTACACTAGTTGAATGATTGAACTATTGTAAACTAAAGTAACATCAATTTAGTTAACACCAAAAGGGAGATAGTAGAATGGGAGGTACCAACTCCCGAGAACCAAACCTGTGTTGATTTGTTGTGCTCGATGTAGTTGTACGCTCACGCACCGCTTCCCACCGGCCTTTGCTGACGCTCGTCTAGGTTGATCTCCTTTGCTAATGCTCGTACGCCCAACTTGTCTCCAACAACTTCGAGAATTTTCCTGAAACACACAGAAAATACCACGACCCAAAAATTAAAAAGGGTTGTCACCGCTACCACTGGTGTAGCCCTGACAGTATTAGGGTAAATGTAGGGAAAAAGCAGAGAACAGTTTCAACACCACAAATAACTGTGACGCCTGCAGTCACCTTCTTAACCGAAATTGAACCGAACACTGACACTTCACCAAGTTTTCAAGAATCGGACAGATCTAACCTTTAGAGGACGAAAAGAAAAGATCGACAAGGAAGCTTCCGGTTGAAATCACTGGAGGCAGTGGTCGGACGAGAGCATCTAAGCTTCAGAAGAAAGGGAGGCGTGGGAGATGAGGGGAGGGGGGCTTACCTGTTGGTGTGGGTGGTCGGTGGCGTGAGGGGAGTGTCGCCGGCGTGGAATGGGGTGGTCTGATTTTTTACCGTTGGGGATGAGATTGACGGACTGTTTCAATTTATGATGGAAGAGATTAGAAAATGAAGGAGAATTGGATCCGGTTAAAATCAACTTATATATTGGTATTCTATGTACCATGTGCATTAATATGTATTACTAATATTTATCAAATTGTAGTAAATAAATACTAACTACTATAATATTATACTGCATTCAGTTTCTATTATTAGGGGTGACAATTTGAGTCTAAACCCATCCAACCCACTCAACCCGTAATGGGTTTGGGTACAAACATTTTAGCTCATGGGTCTATTTGGGCTGCTGCGCCCAAGTTAACGTATTATTTTTTATAGTCCATTCTGACTCATTAAGCACCACAAATACAATCCATAAAACTCACCCAAAACAAAGGGATCTCAACCCAATTTATCTAGAAATTTACTTAGTTGCCCCAATTTTTTTTTTTTTTTTNNATATTTTTCAACTTGCACATTTTAAGGTAAAAGACTTTTTTATGCAAGATGAGTATGATTCTAAAACATGGGTCAAGTTGGGGTTCGACTATGATCCATTGTTTAGCCCATCTCCAGCCCATCTTAGCCTAAGTACACTTTGGGCTGGATTGAAGAATGACTTATTTATTGACCTAACCCATCTTGACCCGCCCAAATTCAGCCCAACCTGCCCATTTGCCACCCCTACCTATTGCTTATCATTAAATTTTTGCACACCCTTTATAAAAGAGATTTAACAATCTTAATCATTAAAATATTTGTCTAGACTACCTTTTATCACTCTTTAAACGCCTCACTCAATTACTCCTAATAATTAGAACAATAAGGATATATTTGAAAAAATTAAAGTAATAAATAATTCTTACGTACTTTAAAAAAAGAGTCAAATAGGTACCCTTTTCCTCCTTTCCTCTTCCTTTCCTTTTTTGCTCGCTCCCCTTTCCTGTCTTTTCCTTTCCTGAAGAGCAGAATAATTCACACACCCTAATTTCCATGCCCCAAATTCAATAGTCAAACCTCTCAACCCCATCGATCCATTTCCGATCAATGGCCAAACGAACCCTACCCATTCTCAAGCACCTCCTCAAGTCCTCATCTCCATCCCCATCACATGGGTTTTCCCATTCATTAACGTCAGCCCGATCCGTCACCTACATGCCCCGACCCGGTGATGGCACACCACGCGCCGTCACTCTCATCCCCGGTGACGGGATCGGGCCGCTCGTCACTGGCGCCGTTGAACAAGTCATGGATGCGATGCACGCTCCTGTGTATTTCGAGCGATATGACGTTCACGGCGACATGAAGAGTGTGCCTCCGGAGGTTATGGACTCGATCCGTAAGAATAAGGTTTGTTTAAAAGGAGGGTTGAAAACTCCGGTGGGTGGTGGTGTTAGTTCCCTTAACGTTCAGCTTAGGAAAGAGCTCGATCTATATGCTTCCCTTGTTCACTGCTTCAACTTGCAAGGCTTACCTACGCGTCATGAGAACGTTGATATTGTTGTCATCAGGGAAAATACTGAGGGTGAATATTCCGGCTTGGAACATGAGGTTGTTCCTGGTGTCGTAGAGAGCCTTAAGGTACTCTTCCATTAATATTTGTTTGACTTTATTCCAAATGTGTAATATGTCTGTAGGATCGTTATTTTTGGTATAATATGCATGCAATGTCAAGTGAGTAATTGTTTTATGCAATCGAAAAGGTTTCGGTACTATATTAATTCAAGTAGGTTCGATTGCTATCTTAGAAATCTTGATAAAATAAAAAATGACATAAGAATGGAGCAAGTGGAGGATTCAATTCATTGGAGACTGAAAAGAACCTAAATTTAAAAGGTTTCAACTGGACTTTAAAGGAGATTAATGGAACCAAATGACAGTTTTGTAAGAATTGCCTGCTTTTATTTCCTTTAGTCTAGTACGGAGTAGTTATATTATTAACACAACAATTGCGAACAAGTTAGGGAGATTGAAGTACCCTTGTCATTTAACAAGATTTAGACTTATCTAGCCCAAAGCTTATCCTTGTCGTGTGATAGCCAGAATCATTCTGGGTTTAGATCAATTCTGCTCCTACAGGATTTTACGACACAAAATCCCATTCTTAGTAGGATGTCAAATTTTAAACCAGCTGAGTTTAGCTCCATACTTGCTATGGTTTGGCCTTGACTGAAGAGTGTATTTTATAATTCTGTTTATCTTTTCATCAAAGATTTTTATCATACAGTTTATTATGCTCTTAGGTATACTTAAATGGAGGTCCATGCTTGAATTTACCAATCATCTTATTAAGATCGTCCTAAAACATGTTGGTAGAACGCCTAAAGACACCTTAATGGAGTACCGTTAGCAACACTTAATCTCGTCAGTTTCCAAATTCGGTCCACAGTACTTTTTGAAGTATTGAATAAAATCACAGCTTGCTTTACAGACCCATGTTTAACACTTCCAGTTTGCTTTCCTTCAAAAGCCATTTGACAACAACATGACTCCTCAATTTTTAGTCATATTTTACTATTAGTTGAGTCTAATTGTGAATCACTCATTTGTTTTTATTTAATCTCTTATGCTAGATAGAACAGGATTAAAGGAATTAATCAGCATATAAGAGAAAAATTAGAAAATCCAGGACATAGAATTGGATTATCAAGAGAGAAACAGTGAAAGCATAAGTGAATAATCTCAAATATCTCTATATAAATGCATAATCTTTTCACCTAATTAAAAAAGAAACTTTTTTGTGGCGCCACAAGAATGAACAAGACCTTTTTTTGGCGCCACTAGATTGAAGAAATTTCACAGACTTTGTTTAGCAAACCTGAGATGCAGAGAAATCCATTCAAAAATCTTGGTCTTCAAAAAACTGGACCTTTGTTCTTAGAGTAGACAGTAGACTCTGAGAGTTGAAAGAAGAGCTTTTTTGATTAAAGGGCTTATGGTTAATTTCTTATTGACATGGGAAAGGCTTGATAAAGCATGAATCATGATAATGGAAAGAAGGAGCAAATATAGGACTTTGAGATTAAAGTTGATAGAACCAGGAGAATTAAGGGGAAATTGACACCACATGTCAATGGCAGAGAAGATGTGACATGTGGGTCGCTTTTGCATTTATTTTGTCATTTCCATTAAAAGGCTAGCATGTGTGCCCTTAAGGGTAAAATTTGCACTTTAGGTGGTTTGACAAGAGTCTTGTCCGATTTATTGAACTCCATGCCCAGTCAAACCATGTCATATAAATTGAAATGGAGGGAGTATTTTTTTTCTTTTTTATTTATTCTAATGACACGTCTTTGTATCCACTTTACACCTGTAAAAGTTGTTGAAAAAAAATCAAACTTAAATCACTCTACGTGCTCTAAAGAAGTGGAGGACACACGTTCCATGTCAGCTTTACGTATTCAATGAACACATTTGACAACTTGAGTGTTCAATAGGTACAACCTCATGAAGAGGTGCCAAAATGAAGTATCGTGCCAAGTTTGAGGGGCAGTTCATATATTTAGTGGAAGAAAACTATTGAAGTATTGGTTGAAAAGTTAGGATGAAGGAGAAAATAACAAGTCAATTCAAGTTGGAGTAGCTAAATGGAGTTGAATTCTTAATAGTTGAAAGTTGTATAAAAAATGGAATGGCGTCAAACATTTTGAAACATCCAAAATTTAAGAGAGTCATATATATTGGAACATTGTGAGTATATTTTGTTATTTAACCCTTTATGGTTGATAAGTAGCAACCTGCCTCTCCGGTTAAATTCTGTTTGAAAGTGGATGGAAAAGTTTGTCATGTGCTTATTTGAATGAGTAAATTTTGCAAGTTCGGTAGGCAACTTAAGGATTAAAGAGAAAACAAAGAAAGTTACAGCTTCTCATATTTTCTTTCTTCCCTTTTCTTGCTTCTTT